AGGATTTCAAGGGGATTTGTGGCATTCACCACTCTGTTGAGAGGGGAAAAAGCATTTAATTACTCACAAAAGAACATAGTGATGTATATTCTATGGGCCACTTCTTAACACTTTGAAGCACTAAAGCAGATGAGGTTTGTCAGACCTTTTGTGCATCATATACGTCTTTAATCCAAGAGTGGCAGGGGAGGTGATGGACAGAGCGACCATTTAAAATTCAAAAGAAGAGATTTTATTAATTAATAGAAGGCAGTTCAATCGTGGGCAAAGAATCATGGCAAGATTGGAGATCTATTTTGATGAAGTGTAATCACTTCTGTCCTAATTTAAGCTATTTGTTAAATATTTATTACTCAGACTCTCTCAGAAATGAAGAATCAAACACATCCATGATAGAACTCTGAATTTACACCAGAAAAGAATGTGGCCCAAGAGTTGTCTTTATGACCAAAATATTGCATGTAACCATCCTTTAGAGAGAAGCTCAATTTGGATAACTGGAATCTCTGGCATAGTTTACTGGAATCTTTGTATAAGGAATGCAAAAAAAATTTCAAAAGCAGTTAAGTAATTTAGGGCCAGTTTTTTTACAGGTAGTTAGATGCCTAAAGATGCAAATAGGAACCTAGTAGGAATTTTGAAAGTACTTAAGTGCCTAAATCCTAGTTAGGAGCATAGGTGTTCAAAAGAGTCCACAAGATGTCCACCTGCATACTTAGGCACCTAAATACCTTGAAAATTCTGGCCCTATGCATCTTAGTGACTTTGAAAATGGGATTTAGGCTAGTAAATCACGTAGGCACTTTTGAACTTATTTTTTACTTTTGAACTTTTTTTTACACCAGATATGGGAATGTGAGTTTTGAAATTCCTGCTGTTTGTTTATTTTTTGGTATCAATACCACACATTTTTAGGACTGTCCCATGCTTAATGAAAATATAAAGAAAGCTCCATACATTTGGATTTTGGCTCTTATCTTTCTTGATGTGATTGTGTGCCCCAGTAAATGTAAATCAGCTGACTAGATTGGATTTATACTGCCAAACACCGCCTTAATTTACTAGTAAACTCTCAAGACCATAAGATCTAAATTGTTATAAACAATTGATCTGAAAATAATTCAACCAAATTATTGGCTTTACCTTTTGTAGTGAATGAAATATTGGCTATTAATCCCATGATTAAAGGCAGTGAATTCATCTCTGAGAAAAAAGTCCTCCATTTGGAACTTTATAATACATCTGAGTGTGATTGATGTCTTTAGGACTGATGAGGCTGAATCTATATGTGATCTCCTAGCCAGGTCAAACCCAGGAAATGTGCTGGAGACTGGCTCTATGTAACATTAACCTTACTCAGAGAAAGGCTGTCCTGATGTAGAGCTTGTTTTAAAAAACGCTGAGGGCCAAATTCAGTAGTGAAGTAAATTGTGGTACAAACTATATGCTTGATATAAATGGGTTAGAAGATGGGTCTAAGCAGCCCATAAGTGGTACAGTAGTGTAACTTTACAGTAGTAGAAAAAAGTGCACAAAATAGGAGCGAGGGCTAGCAGGAAAAGCAATGACCAGGAGTATGTAAGATACAGCATTTCCTTCTACCTTATCTTTTACTCTACAGTCCATTGCTTTATCTGGTACATCCTCACCTTCTGCTCCCTTGTCTTGTCTGTGAAATTGCAGTGAAGAAGGGGCTAGGCAAAGCAGAAAGTCTGTCAGTAATCCCATATAGAGTTCATATTTCATTGCTCGAAGCGGTGTTATTGCTTTGAATCTGTACATTGTGAGTGATAAACTTTACCATCCTCAAGTTGAAAAAAGGAGTCAGACAGTAGAATCTGTAGCGCTTTATTTGGGAATACACACCTCTCTCAGATAAAGTTTAATCTGTCCCAACAAATTGAACAGAACATTCCTTTAGATCCGAGATTTGTTATGCTGGGCCAGGCTGGTGACCTAAGTTTCAAAGTACAGTGACAGAGACAGCTCCATTCCAGGCCACTTGACTGAATTTTATTGAGGAATTTCTGTACCTAGAAGAACTATGCTTAATTTTCAACTGAGAACTGGAGACTTCAGTGCCAAGTGTCCAGTGTTTTGAACTCTCTGAAACAAAAGAGGAAAAAATTAGACGATTGTGTTCATTTTCTTTTAAAGTACTGCTCAGTGACTGCTTTTAATTTTTGCTGTCTGCATAATGCCAGTTTATCCGTGCTCATACATGTATTTATGTAGCCTGATAAATTCTGTGGAGTTGCACCTCAAACGGAATTTATCCTTACTCTGGGGGAGAGCAACTTTTCCTCTGTGATTATGAACAGAGAGACTGATAACAGTCAGTACTCTTATCCTCCTGATTTATTTTTTTTTCTTTCTCTTCTTTGTGACCCAACCCACCTTTCTCACCCAAAACATTTGTAATGCTATAAAAAAAGGAGAAAAGAGGCATGAATCTTTGAGGCTTTTTTACTGCACTTGCCTGACAGACATGTTGCTGCAGTCAGCCCAGCCTGTACATCCTTGTAGCTACTCTTGGTCACTTTGAGGTTTATTCAGTTGAGGAACAACTCACCAGGCCGGCTCTAGGCACCAGCTAAGGAAGCTGGTGCCTGGGGCGGCAAATCAGAAGGGGTGGCACTTCGGCACTTTTATTTTTTCCTTCCTCACTGGCACGTCGGTGGCTGGCAGCTTTTTTATTTTTTCTTCTTTGGTGGCTGCTTTTTTTTTTTTTTTTGCTTCGTGGCTTGGGGCGGCAAAAAAGGTAGAGGGCCCTGGAACTGACAATCAGGAGTGAGTTCCTGTGTGTGTGCTCACTGATGGTTCTTTGACATCTGATAAAACAAAATTACCATCTATGGGCTGGCTCCCCAGCTGGTATAAATCACTAGTTCCATTGGCCCGAGTGGAAACACCCTGAATTACACCAGTTGAAAACTGGCCCCTGGTCAGATCATGAGGTGTTCCGAGCTTGGGAAAACAAAGTGAAGAATGATCAATGAAGACAGTAGCTGCTTCTGATGGGCTTGGAACAGACTGCTGTATAAAAATAATAAAGATTACCCTATATTGCCATTGAACATTCAACATGTACAGGCAGTTACCACAATGACAGCACTACCCTGAGAATGGAAAATAAGTGGGTATCTCAAATACAGTGTGGTAACTGTCAGTGATTTTTTGAGACTTTTATGGAAACACTGTTATATACCTATACAGAGGCCTATTTTCAAAATGGACTAGTAATTTTGGGTGGATCCATTTTGAGTCTCCTTAAATGGGCCTGATTTTCAGAGGGAAAGTGTTCAGCAATTTCTGAAAATTTGGCTTCAGCTCAGGCAGTCAAAAACGTAGGCAACCGATATCACTGGTAATCTTTGACATTTTAAAATTTGAAGGTTTAGGCCACTGGCAGGAGACTGAGGACTGGGAGTCAGGAGACCTTAATTATGTCCTCAGGTTTACTATCAGCGCACTATGAAATCTTGGATGAGTGACATAAGACCTCTGTACCTCAGTTTCCACCATTTGTCAAACGGAGGTAATAATACAGAGTCTCTGAGATTTAAGCACTTTCATAGCAGATTTCATCCTATGTATTATTATTTTTAACAGTACATACTGAATCAAAAATGACATGACACTTTTTGCTGATAAATAATATCTCATTGCTTAGTCTCAAACAAATCAGTCATTTGTATCATAAATTAAATCTGGATTTTGTTTAGCTACAGAGACAAGGCTTGTTCTTCAAATCAGTTGAGACTTTAATAGGGTTAATTATTACTGATACTAATTTTTGAGCTCCCAAAAACATGTTAGGCACTTTAGAGAAAGAAATTGAAAACAGTCCCCCGCCCTGAAGAACTTACAGTCTAAGTTTAGATTTGACACAAGTGAGGGAAATTAACATAATGAGGGGAAAGGGAAAAAGTGGGACCCAGGAGTGTAATCCTGACATCAGGTGATTACTCAGTTACAGCACGAACACATCTTACTGAGTAGGTTAAATCTTTATGCTCTTTTATTTATATTTCTGTATATGGGGGACATTGTCTGATTTTATGTATATGTATGTCAATCTGAACATGCGCACACACACAGAGACACACACACATCCCATAACCAGATAACCACCCAATCTTATTTCTAAAAATCTTGTCCTCTCTTTTTCTTTCCTCTCCTTTTTGTCCATTTCCTTATTAAGTTTAAATGTAGACTGTGAGCTCTTTAGGACTTCTTTTTGCTACTTATTTCTCTAAAACACCTAGCACATATTCGGATATTCAAAATCAATTCCTCAAGAGACATGAAGTTGGAAGTCTACGCTTATGCACAGAGGTGTGTGTGAAGACACTTCTTGTAAGCAATCTGATAAACGTGAGTTTTTAGGAAGCATTTAAATGGGGAGAGGTTAGATGCTAGGCAAACAGATTTTGAAAGGGGCAGCATGGAATAGGCCCAGAGGTGGCTGTGTTAGAAGGAAGAAAGGAAGATATCAATTATCATTAACAAAGCAGAGGTAATATGAAAGGAAACAAAGCTGGAGATGTATGTAGAAGCAGAGTGATCTAAGACCTTGAAATTAAGCACAGGAAGTTGACATAATTGACTTCATCCTTGTAACCTTAGTATCTCCTTTATTGCTACCTCTAGTTTACTATTGATATTCTACAGAAAATTATTTAAGTTTTCATCCTTCAATTCACAGTCCAAGGGTAGACTGCTGATCCTGTACCAGGCCCCATGGAAATCAGTGAGGCTCCATGAGAGCACAGCATGCACTAAATTGCACGGTTGGAGCTTTCATTACCAACATTTGTTGCTTGACTTGTTTTATGTCAGTAAATTTTTTTAATTAAAAAATGTGATGAAGATATTTAAAACTAGATATATTAATAGTAGCATGAAATCAATGTAAATAAAGATGTCAGAGAAACTAAGCTTTAAAAGAAGCATTTTATTTGGTAAAAAATAATAAAAGTAATAAATTATTTCTTGACAAATTTTGGTTTGCATTTGTACATATACAGTATATGCATGGCATAACTACCATGTAATGTAAGTATTTCCACTGAGAAACCAGAGTTTATGTAATGAGTAACAGTGTAAAACTAAATCCAGAATAGAAACAGGCATATTAATCTGGCGTGGCCAAAACCAAGCTTCATGGAATTCCCTGGTGCTTTCAAAATTTTTGTAAATTCTATTTTCTCCTTTGCAATCAAGAATACCTATTCTGGATGCTTGTATATGTGTATATTAGCCTGTCTATTTCCTTTGCATTATCTAGATTACAAACAGCAGAAGCAATAGCTACCATTTACATGGGGCTTGGAAGGGGCAATAAAATCCTGATCTGGCTACAGCTTGGCTGTGTGAAATCCAGACATTGCTCTAAGTAAATAAAAATACCATAGATTTAGATTAGCAATTGATTGGAATATGTGATTTGATGTCCAAGTAGTATGATGAGTCTTTAGACCATGATAAAGGAAAGCACTTAAGCACATGCTTAATTTTATACTTTAACTTTATGCTAGGACTACTTGAGTGCTTAAAGATAAGCACATGCTTAAATGCTTTGCTAGATTGGGTTCTAAGAGCTTGATATAAAGGCCATTAAAATCAGTGAGAAACAATCAGGTTTTTGAGCTCTGACTGCTAGATGAGGCAAGAACAGGCATTTTAGAACAGACACTTAAATGCACTATGTTCACATGCAAATATTTGGTGTTTTGCATCTAGTGTATTCTTAAATCAGTAAAGAAAATAAAATTTTGCTAATGGTATCCTGCCAGTATTTTAATAGGAGACTCCCAAAGGAAGGTTCCTTCCTGGACTATGTTACACCCTGTGTACTCTACTTGTAGAGAAAGTGTGTCAGGTGAGCAGTCTATTTTCCTGCCTTCCCCACCATTTTCTCAACCATACCCATCTAGAGACACAACACCAATTGGCAAACAAATTTATATTAGGTGCATTTTACTGGAAATGTTTATTATGTTCTTCCTCTTGACTTAGCAATCTACCGTTGATAGAAGAAACAGTAATTTTCCAAAAATTGTAACAAACTATATCTCATAAGATTTACTACAAGTATGTATGTATGTACACACACACACAGAACTGCCATTTTTAACACCTGCCATGGAAGCCCCAAAAGGAAAAATATGAACCTTCCATGGTGGTATGCTGGAGAGCTTCCCAGGGCAGGAGAATGCAAATAAATGAGCTTCCATTGCCTACAAATCATGACTTACAGGTCAATGAGCAGCTCTGCAGCTTGTGTGTATTCCCGTGGAGTTCTCTTCATTGGGACACCCTCCTAAAAACTTGCTCATCATAAAAGATGTAATGTTAATAAGAAATGCTGCTGTCTAGAGAGCAACAGGAGTCCATACTGGGCAGCCCCCTATAGTTGTGAGGAGGCATTTTCTGTACTGAGATAGGATCTGAAATTGCTGTCTGCTACATGTCAGAACGCTCCAGGTTTGCCAGTTCAGCATGGAAAAGGCAAACTAACAACATGTATTAGTGAAGCAATTCATATACTTTCTGCAAATATCTCAGCTAAGAAGGAACTGAATACTTTCGGTAGAAGGAAAGAGAAAGACCCAAGATACAATTGAGACACAAGAGATCACCACTAACTGTAAATACCATCCCCATTATGTATTGGTTATTTTTATTAAATATCATTTTGCTTAAAACTGTTCTCTGGGAAATGTCCTGATCCTGCCTCATAGAAGTCACTGGCAATAACCATTGCGATTTTAATGGGAACAGGAGAGGGTTCTAGGTGAAATGCAGCACACTGTAGTTCAAGGACTCCCATCACAGCAATAGGTGGGAAGGAACAAGCAGGTTTCTGACCTAGCTGATGAACAAATCAGGCATGTGGTTTTTTTTTGTTTTTTTTTTAAAGAATTAAAATAGCATATCCCTCCCCTGGAATTTTTGAGGAGTGCTGTTGGGAGAGGGAAATTCTTTCACATCAACCACTGATTATACATTTTACTTTATCTTTCAAATTTCATGGCCCAATCTGCTGTCCTAACTGCATCTGGAAATTCAGAGTTCAGCTACGTAAGGCCTATTATCTTTGGGTCACATCTCCTTTAGGTTTCAAACTGAATGATTTTATAGACCTCTAAAGGTGGATATGATAGAGGTCTATACAATCATGACTGGTGTGGAGAAAATAAATAAGGAAGTGTTATTTTCTCCTTCTCATAACACAAGAACTATGGGGTCACCAAATGAAATTGATAGGTAGCAGGTTTAAAACAAACAAAAAGAAGTATTTCTTCACACAACGCACAGTCAACCTGTGGAACTCTTTGCCAGAGTATGTTATGAAGGCCAAGACTGTAACGGTTCAAAAAAGAACTAGATAAATTCATGGAGGATACGTCCATCAGTGGCTACTAGCCAGGATGGGCAGAGATGGTGTCCCTAGCCTCTGTTTGCCAGAAGCTGAGAACAGCTGACAGGGGATGGATCACTATATGTTAGTGTAAATCAGAAATAACTCAGTGGGGTTATAGGAGTGTAGAGCACTTAGATACTATGGTGCTGTGGTCCGTATTTGTTCCAAGTTATACAGATAAAGCTAAATGAAGTGAGATCATAATCAGGGCCTTTCTGTCAATCCAGTGATGTGAGATTAATTCAAGACAACTTTTTCCATAATATTAACAATCACTGCATGAAAATATGGTTGCTTTTAAAAAAGTTATTTGGATGGTAGCTACTCTCCTCTACAGTACAATATTCTTATTCAAAATCCCTCCCCCATTAAAATAAAGGAAATAACATACAGAAATCACTGGTGTGCTCATCTCAACAATCAGTTCAGGTATAGACATTAAAAATAAACGTTTGTGAATGAATTAACATTAAATATTAATCATCAGCATCATACTCTTCTCATATGAAATGTTGTTGTAGCCATGTTGGTCCAGGATATCAGAGAGACAAGGTTTCTCAGATCTGAAGAAGAGCTCTGTATAAGCTCAAAAACTTGTCTCTATCACCAAAAGAAGTTGGTCCAATAAAAGATATTCTTCACCAACATTTTCTCTCTCATACTCTTCTTATATTTACTATGCACAGTAGTGGGGTCCTGATTATCTTACTGCTTGATACAAGTAACTGTTATTGACTTCAGTGGGAATTACTCATGTCTTAGTTAAATAAAATGGTTGGGTCTTGATCCAATGTCCATTGAAGTTACTGGCAGAGCCCAAATTTTGCAAACAGATTATCTCAATCTGAGAAATCCTTAAATTAGCACTGACCAATTCAAATGAAAAGAGTTTGTGAACATTTCCATACTTTAAAAAAATTATTTGAATGCAAGCTGGTTGAGTGAACAGTGAGCATTGCTGTGCACGGTCCTTTGGTCCATATAGTAATGAGGAAGAAATTAGGAACAGGAGTTTATAAACAAGATGGGTGAAATCTTGGCTCCACTAATGTCAATGGGTACTTTACCACTGACTCCAATGGAGCCAGAATATCACCCAATCTGTCTAAAAGGTAAGCTCTTTTCTTGCTTCCATTACTTTAGTCTTTGGAAATACTTCAAGTTTTGAGTAAAATACGTGCCTACAACTTTTCTTAACTGAACTACTTAGAATTGCAAATTCAATTGCGAACATTTAAAGCTAAGTACTGTATGGAGAATTTACCAGCTTACCTGAGAAATGGTAATCCACAGACTAATTTTCTTCCTTGATGCTCCAAATTTAAAAATATAGGAAAGCACACGTTTCTAAGGATGCATTATGGAATATTGGCATATACAACAAAAGGTTTAACTCCAATTGCAGCCTACTTTCAATAAATCTTGATGCATCAATAGATTTTAAAATGTCACCCTACAGTTACAACCACTTCACATTGTAAACAAGTACACCACACCCTGGTTGGAGGGTAACTTTGAGGTTTGTGGTGATATGTAATTACATACAATATTCAGTACAATAAGTGAGATTCTCCATTTGTTATCCTCACAGTTCAATATAGCAGTCTGTGAAGACAATCAGTAATATGGTAAAGTCTGTAAGAGGTTTTCAAAAATTAGTTTAAATGGCTAAGTAACATGCAATTAATTAACATCTGCTTTTATCACTTTCAAGAGTACATAAATGCTGAAAAGACACAGCAGGCCACTTATCCCAGTATTATTCTATTTTTAAATGACAGGTTTTTGAAAAAAAATATTAGAGTTTAAAAAACCTCCTCCCTCTTTTTCACACTTATAAGATATTATTACACACTTTCTGCATGAGGGAAAGTATCTATCTCAAATTAATCTTACAGTATAAACATTATAAACATCACATTTAAAACATCTTTTAGACACAGAACTTGTGCAATGACTGAAGTATAATAACTCTAGGTTTATTACATAAAAACATATACATCAATTCCAAGGTTCTAACCCCTGCAGAAACCCTTGTAAACTTTACAGGCCTGCCCATCTGTCTAATTCAGTTCAATACTTAGAGCCCTGCTGCCTTTGCTATTTTTCACACAGTCCTCAGACTATATAGGTTTTATTTGTTTTTGTATAGTAAGTTTCCAAACTTTTGCATAAATCCTCGAAGCTTGTTTTCATTTGGCTGTAATGGATGGTATACGGTTGAGTTGTAATGAGCCACCTGATTGCCCCTTGCATAGTTATTCCCTAAGGTTTTGCTTTTTGTTTCTGGGGGCTGTGTACTGGTCTTGGGTGTATTTCTTGCTGGTTGACCAGAGCTTTCCATCTTCAAGAATGGCTCAAAGCGACTATAAACACGTCTTTCACTCAAACGAGATCTTAATAACTCCTCTTTGTGCTTTGAGTTTCCAGGCTGGGATGTCATTGTGCTTACTCTTTGTGGAGAACTAGAAACAGGTGCAGTTTCCTGTGTAGCATTAGTTATAGCTTCTTTCACCTCTTGGTACTGGATCTGTTCAGTATTAAATCTTGGAGTGGATGCATCTCCTACAGTTTCTAAGAACTTTTCAGGGGGGCATAAAGTAGGGCACTTTTTACTGCTTTCATCAAATGGAGGTTTTGGAGACTTGGGTGGCTTGGGAGACTTGGGTGGCTTGGGAGACTTGGGTGGGCTCACAGTGACATCCTCTTTACTTTTATGCAAGCTGCCTTGTGAATTGGATGATGTGATCCTCTTTTTTCTTGGAGAAGAATCAGCCTTAGTCTCAGATATTTTTGGCTTTTGATTCTCTTCGCCTTCAGAAACCAACGTGTCAGAACTGCTGCACATTCTATAAAACACAGGAGCTTTGTTTTTTGACAAGTTTTCCTTCTTGTCTGGTGTGAGATTCAGCAATGACCTCAGTTTCTGGGATCCCTTTTTCAGGAAACTTGGAGAATTCCTATTTTCTTTCTTTAAAGTACATTGTTTGCTAGGTTCCTCTTTGCTATCTTCAGCTAGAGCAGCCACAGAGATGGCCTTCGTGGTAGTGGGGCTCTTTGATTCTCCTTTGAGATTTTTATCTTCATGTTCTATGTGGTTGGTCACACTGTGAAAGCTTTTAGAGTTTTTTATTGTATCTTCTGGGGGCTTTAGATTTTCCGGCCGCTTAAGTCTCTGCCTAGTCAGTGTGCTGTACACATAGCTGGACGCCTGCTTGTTGACACCATGATCCAAAGCGGACTTGGAGTTATCAAACATAGGGAAACTTCGCCTTTTTAGTATATTTTCATTCTGATGGTTCTTTACATTTTCTGCCTGTCTGTTTACATAGAAGGCTGTGTACATGTAGGTAGATGGGTCCCTAGTGGCATTTGGATATAAAATAGGTTTTTTGTTTTCTGCAACCTGCATTCCAGGCTTTTTCGGTTCATCTGAGTCAGGTGGGACATTAGTGCTGACCTCTGCTGATTCTTTGTTGGTCACATTTTTCACAATTGGGATATGATTGGGTGTCCCTTTAGGTGTTTCACTTCCCTCTGAACCAACGATAGTTGAATTTGAAGAACTTGTACAGCTGCTTACTTCCTGCTGTTCTGGCAAAGTTGGCTTAAAAGCTAATGATGACCTCAGGCGAGAATGAGAATAAAGGGCATGAGCTTTAATATTTTCAGCTGTGTCATAGCCCTCATACCTGTCACTGACTGCTGATCCATTGCAATCTGCAGCGGAATCTGACTGATCATTTAAGTATGACTCAATTCGCCAGTTACGTAGAAATGATTTTGTAGTGTGTTCAAGGGTTGGCATCCTCTGTTGCAGATAGCGGATATGATTATCTGTTCCACTGAAAGACCTCCGTACAATTGAATTTCTTTCTGCAATATTTATCTTTGGCTGTGCAAACCGATTGGCAAAACTTTGTTGGGGTGCATTGCAGTTGTTTGTATAGCCTCCCTTTAATGAAGATACAATACTAAGGCTATCAGATGGCATCTTCCAAGTATTTGATAGATTATTGGTCCGATTAATAGCTCTGTGTAGCAAAAAGTAAGGAGTCCTTTCTGGGTTTTCCCCAGCATAACTATGTCTCTTCCAATGCTCATTTTGTTCACTGGGTTGATACTGCTGAATTTTATTTTGCATGTTAAAACCTGGATGAAAGGGTAGTTTGTTGTGGGTTTGATTTCTCAAACCATATGTATCTATTTCATTCACTGCATATCTTCCTCGAGTTTTCAAGTAAATGGGATCTAGTTTGTGAATTTTGTCTTGCCTACCAAAAAGGTTTCGCTGGCTGGAGACTGAAGCTAAAGAAGACTGTGAATGCTGGTATGTGCCATTCTCCCAGAGTATCCTGTGACTATTTATCCTAACTAATTCTGGGGCAAATGAACTAGGAACAGAGGAACGGGCATACAGCGTCCTAAACTCTTCATCAAAGGATTCAACCAGTTGTCCTGTGATAACTTGAACCATGCTGAGGTTGGCTTTTTCAAATGACCACATAAAGCTGAAAGCAGAACAAATTACAATTAATAATACTCTAAAACTTTTGGACAAATGCATCATACCAGCCCTCATTATTATGAGGGCCTCCGCCCAGTCTGTGATTTAGCAGGCACAATTTTTCATGCACCAATACTTATTCATGCAGTTAACTGTAGACATGATTCATGGCACTTAGATATGGAGGGCCTGACCCAACTCCATTTGAATTCAGTGGAAGACTTACCATTGATTTCAGTGGGAGCTGCATTAGGCCCATAACTATCTAATTGTACTTACAAACACTATGCATTTCAATGTTTCCATCCACAAATTGGGTAGATAGGTGCACATGTGCAAATAATTTCACTAGCAATTAATAGTGTATGTAAGACTGTAGGTACAATTATTTGTAGGTTCAAAATTAGCCCTGCAAGTCAGAGGCCACATGTATGTACAAGCAATTTGTATTATTATATGAAAACAGTAAATTAGGAATATATGCAAAAGTCTTTCTGACAGTTCTGAATAAATAAGAGCTTGTCTACACAAACCTTTACTTTGCTGCAAGCTAGGGCATGTGTGAGAGAGAAATACTCTGTCCCTCTTGCTTGCTATTGCAGCATGCTCAATGTGGAGGGGCAGGGCTTCAGGGTGTTTCTGAGGAGGTAGGCATGGTGCAGGCTTTGTCCCCTCAGGGAGAGCACAATGTAGCAGCCTGCCTGCTTAGTGAATTCCCCCAGGAGTATAAAACAGGTGTAAAAGTTTTAAGGCTCCTTTACACTGCCAGAGTGGTGTAAAGGACAGTATGGCCTTATGAATGCTTATGGTGCTTTAGTGATTAGAACTGGTCTAAATTTTTGGAATGAAAAAAATTCCTGTCAAAATGTGCTCCATGAACTGTTTGCTACTGATCTTTCTGGACATGGTCAGTAGCCAATATAAATTGTGAGTTTAATTCCCCAGTCCTCACCTGCTGTTCAGTTGCCTATGATGTAACACTGAGCATATGGCTGCATTTATTTGTTGACTAATAACTAGAAATAAAGGATCAAACCTAGCTACATTACTAGTAGGCAAAGGGGTTGGGGGATTTCCTCCAATGCTCCCCACTCCCTTTCTCCATCCATTGTATTGTAGTTTAAATAAATTACTGAAATAATTGAAACCAGAGTGATTATATTGCGTTATTTTGACAAATAAAATATGCAGAATTTTAAAATATTGTGCACAGAATTTTTAAATTTTTGGCACAGAATTCCCCCAAGAGTAAAGTGTCACACTGTCATGTCACTATTAAAACTACATATTTTGTAGATTACATTTGTATCAGATATACATTTATCTTATGATCCCATTCTTCCTTGCGTCAAAATAATGAAAGAAAACTGAAAGTGAAGGTATTAAGCAATATGTTACCATTTGTTGGTCCTAATGATAGTAATAAGGATTGTTGAGTTAATTTGAATGGTCTTACTTCTTTTATTTTATTTGTTAGTTAGTTTTGTATTTTTCAGGAAAGAAATAAGAAAATTAAAATATAACAGAATTACATCAAAAAATTAACTTAGTGACTCGTAAAAACAGTTTTATTTCTCATTCATTTTCAATGAGGTTATTAAATGAGCATACTGTACTTTTGAACATTAAAAAAAGTCTGTAGTTTTAACTGATTTTTAGAAGACAAATTCAAATAAGATAGTCTTAGCTACCATAATGGCTAGAAACATTTTTTTTAATAGAAGCTTAATTTCAGCAGAAATGGATGATTTAGGCCCCATAGTGCTAGGTCATGAAAACTGCAATTTTCTAAAATGCTTTTCTTTGAGACATAGAATTTTTTAAAGTCTCATTCTCACAGACACTAACATTTCAAAGGCATTATCGGTGAAAAAGGTCAAACCAGTCAGATTCCCTTTGCATCCTCTTACACTTACTCACTGATGTCACTTCCCTCATCACCTTGCACACCTCACATTTGAATTTAGTTAGCCGAGTCTCGCTAAGCATAGAAGGCCAGATTGTCAGCTGCTGTACACTGGCAGAACCTCTATCAGTCACCAGCTGAGGATCTAGCCCATAATCTCTATATTGCTGCAAACCAATTTGAGAGGCCAAAAGAGAGAAGTGTTGCAAGAAAAGCAAATAAAAATACAATAACGTGAAAGACAAAGTTGGCCATCCTCCTTTTAGCTTACCACATTTTTATAGTCTCTTCCAGCTCCTCAGTATGTAAGTTATGCCAATTTTCACTCCCTTGCACATATTTGTATATTGTTAAGTAGGTATAAGTTGGTCTAAGGGAATCTAACCAAGTGTGAGAGAGTCTAACTTATCTTACCTTATACATTATCACCTCTGAATTTGGACCACAGTGTAGAACACAAAACAGGAAAGAACAAATTAATGATGCAAGTATCTGGAGGACTATTACAAATAGAAGTTTAACAGGAGAGCTTATGAAATATACCTTGGTGATGTTTTCTAATGTGACTATTAAATAAGAATAATTAATTGGTATGGGACAAATACTGGGGTCCTCACTCTGGCCTTATCTACACTACCAGGGTAAGTAGACCTAAGTTATGCTACTCCAGCTGTGTGAATAACATAGCTGGAGTTGACGTAGCTTAGGTCAACTTACTGTGGTATCTACACTGCACTGTGTCGACGGGAGACGCCCTCCCATCAACTTACCTTACTCTTTTCATTCTGGTGGAGTACCGGAGTCGACGGAAGAGCAACCTGCAGTCAATTTAGTGGGTCTTCACTAGTCCCGCTAAATCGAACCCCATTGCATCAATTACAGCAGTGTCGATGCCCAGTAAGTGTAGACATGGCCTCTGTTTTTACTGACTTCATTGAACTGAAGCCAAATTGAGTGTGCTTGAGTCCTTATTCACTAAATACTGAATGAGGAGTTCAGAATTTGGCCCTACATTATGCTAGTTACCCAACAAAACTTCTATGTCAGACTTTTAAATAATATACAATATAAATTATATCAAAGTTAACCATAGAGTATACTGACCATTTTTAGAAATAGCAAAATTACTTATCATGAAAGAGCCATATTCTGATTACCTTTAAGGAAATATATTCTACTCACAGCCTTGTGTATTGAACTTACCTGTAAGTACCATACATGACTTTCTTACAGTCAACCAGAAGAAATTTCTGTTCCATTTTTCCATGGAATTTTGCCCCTGATTTGGAATAATACTCTTGTCCTTTTACTGTCCGCACCCTCATGTTCTGAAAAAGATTATAGAATATCTTTAAAATGGGCAAAATGAATGTTGCAGTTTATATTTAAGATCTCAGAGCCTGATACTACACTTTTAAGTATCAGGGAAGTGGCGGGGTTGGAGGCGGAGAGAAATGGTTACCTACCTTTCGTAACTGTTATTCTTCAAGGTGTATTGCTCATGTCCATTCCATTCTAGGTGTGTGTGCGCCAAAGTGCACAGTCAGAGACTTTTGCCTGAGCGGTATCCGTAGGGTTGCCTGCGGCACCCCCTTGAGTGCTTCGCTCATGCGTCAGTATGCCACTGAACATGCGCCCTCTCAGTTCCTTCTTGCTGGCAACTCTGACAGAGGGGCAGGAGGGCAGGTAATGGAATGGACATGAGCAACACATCTTGAAGAACAACAAGTTACAAAAAGGTAGGTAACCGTTTTTTCTTCTTCGAGTGTTTGCTCATGTCGATTCCATTCTAGGTGACTCACAAGCAATATCCTTGGAGGTGGGCTCAGAGTTCATGGTCTTGTGGCTTGTCACACTACTCTACCGAAACCAGGATCATCCTGAGCCTGCTGGATAAGCATGTAATGGGATGTGAACATGTGGATGGGTGACCTGGTGGCTATCTTACAGATGTCCTGGATAGGCAACTGGGCTAGAAAGCTGCCAAAGAGGCTTGTGCTCTGGTTTAGTGGGTGTTCACGATCACCGGAGGTGGCACCCTTGCCTAATCATATCAGTAGTGAATGCTGGCAGTGATACAAGAAGAAATTTTTTGAGCAGACACTGGACGACCTTTCATCCTGTTGACCACCACGACGAACAATTGCATTGACTTGCGGAATGGCTTGGTCCTTTCAGTGTAGAAGGCTAGCATCCTCCTCATGTCTAGGGAATGCAACCTGTGCTCTTCCTCCTCATTATGCAGTTTGGGGGAAAAAAACAGGTAAGTAAATGTCCTGGCGTGTATGAAACTGTGAGACCACCTTGGGCAGGAAAGCCAGGTGTGGGCGCAGTTAGACTTTGTCTTTGTAGAAGACTGTATAGGGCAGTTCTGAGGTAAGTGCCCTGATCTCAGAGATCCAGCAGGCAGATGTCATTGCAACCAACAATGTGACCTTCCAGGAAAGGAGAAGGAGAGAGAAGGAAGCCAGAGGCTTGAAGTGGGGAGAGGGTCCTGTGAGCCACGACAGGACAAGATTCAGGTCTCACAGAGAGATGGGGTCCCTGATGTGCGGGTAGAGGCACTCGAGGCCCTTGGGGAACCTGGCAGTCATGTCAAAACCAACCTACCCTCGAGTGGCGGATGGAAGGCTAAGATAGCAGCCAAGTGGTCCTTGATAGTGGAAAGGGACAGGCCTTGGAGCTTGAGATGCAAAAGGTAGTCCAGGATTAACTGCAGCGAGGCCTGCTTGGACCGAATGCATTTATTCGAGATCCAACAAGCAAACTACTTCCATTTGGCCAAATAGGTTGCGCTGGTGGAGGGCTTTCTGCTGCCCAACAGGACCTGTTGGAAACCAGCCAAGCACTCTTGTTCCTCTGCATTTAACCATGCAGCAGCCAAACTGTCAGGTGCAGCGCTGCCAGATCTGGATGCAGAACACTGCCATGCTTTTGTGACAACAGATCCAACCGGAGCAGTAGACATAATGGAGCAGCCACTGAGAGGTCATGAACTGCTGGGTGTAGCTCAAAGATATTATGTTGAACACCCAAAGGTCCAAGGTCAGCCGCTACAAGGCCAACCGGAAGGGGTGCAAGTGCTTGAGGAAAAAGCAGGGGGAGTGGATCCTGGGAAGTGACGGGGTGCTATCCTTGGGCCCATCCTCAAAATGCCTGCTTCTGGCTTCCTTGGCCTCTGGAAGAACCAGGCTGGGCAGAGGAATGGGAAGACAAAGGGTGCTGCCGCTTAAACCCTTTGTCTCTTTCCTTCTTCCTGTAGGAGCTGAACCGGGGGACACCCCAGGATGTCGACGGAGAAGGTGGGGGATGGAAGAGCTTTCTAGCCTGCAGAGGCTCAAGGAACAGAGGGTGGCACAGGAGTCTTTAAGACCACGGAGCCCTGCATCAGTCATCTCCGAGAAGAGCCCTGCTGCCTCAAATGGGAGGTCCTGAAGGGTAGTCTGCATCTCCTGAGACAGCCTGGAGGATTGCAACCAGGGGCTGTGCGTCATGACCTCCGCAGAGATGACTACCCTGGCTGCTGAGTCCATAGCATGCCAGGCCATCTGGAGGATGCCTCTACCACCACTTTGCCTTCTTCCACCAAGGAGGCAAACTCCTGGGCTTGGTCCTGTGGAAGGCCCTCCTTGAACTTGCTGATGGAGTCCCACAGGTTGAAGTTGTACCTGCCCAGCAGGGCCTGATGCTTAGACATCTGAAATTGCAGGCTGGCTGTTGAATAAATTTTTCTGCCAAACAAGTTCAGCCCCTTGGTGTCTTCATTTTTCAGTTTTCCGCTCACCTGGCCCTGCCTGTCCCTCTCATTGATGGCAGACACTGCCAAGGACCCCACTGGAGGGTGGGTATATAGGTATTCAAAGCCCTTTGCCGGGACATAGTACTTCTTTTCTGCCTTGTTGGAGGTAGGTGGAATGGAAGAGGGGGTCTGCCGCAAAGACAGCAATTTTTTGGATCCCTGGGTGGATAGGCAATGCGATCCAGGCCGGGGTGAAGGAGCGTATGACATTAAAGAGGTCGGACTCCTCCGCTAGCTCCTCGACCTCCAATTTCAGGTTGGCAGCCACCCTTTTGAGCAGGGCCTGGTGCTCCTTGAAGTCGTTGGGGGTGGAGGGACGGGGAAGGGCTGCTCATTTGCTCCTGGTTGCTTTGTCCAGAGACCATTAAAAGGACTGCGCTGCAGGAGGAGGGACGGCTTCCCCGTCGTTGTCTGGGGACTGCTCCTTGGGCATCAGGGCCTGCTGCGTCCACCCCGCATCAGATTCAGCACCGTGCTCCAACTCAGGTGCCAGCTGTGCCAGGGGCAGTTTGTCCGATGTGGCTTGGGAGGAACGGTGGGAGTACGGGACTGGCATAACACGAACACCCCCCGGGTTCCATTACTGCTGTGGAGCGGACCACTGCCCCTGCCTCCGTGCTGCCACCACAGGAGCCACACCGGTCTCGCAGGCTAGTGGCAATTTGCCTTTTAACAGAGAGGGGCTGAACTCTCCTTCTAACTCAGACCATTGCCCTTCCAGTGACCAGGGCGGAGCTGCAGATGCCTGAGTCTGCTGACTGACCCCTGTCGGCGACCGGGAAGGAGAGGATGAGGATCGGTGCCTGCCCAAAGAGCGATACTGAGGAGCTGGAGACCGGTGTTGTGACCTGGAATGATCCCACACCAGGGGGAATCAACGCCTGGAAGACCACCTAGGCAATAGTGATCTGTGCTGTGGTGATCTCTGGTGGGAGGCCCAATGGTACTGTGGGTACGGGAATTGGCATAGTTACTCAGGTGTCCCGTGCTTTGTAGGTGGAGATCTTGGTGTCAGGGACCTGGGTCTTCTAACCAGGGACTGAGGCTGGAGTGCTAGAATACCAGTGATGGGTATTGATGCCTGCAGTCTGGGGACACTTCGCTTCTTTAGAGGGTAGTCCTATAACCGGCTTGCCCCTAGATGCCAAGGCCTTAGCTGGGTCTGTTGCCTGGCTTGGCATCTGCGGTGCCATCCAGACTATTTGTTCTTTGGCCACTGGGCCTGCTTTGGGCACAGATGTCCGTACGCCAATGTCAAAGTGCCAGGCGTGGAGTCCGATCGAGAGGGATCCAAGGCAGGATGAAGCGCAGCCTCCATGAGGAGGGCCCTCAAGCAGATAGCCTGCTCCTTCTGAGTTCGAGGGGAAAAGTTTTTGCAGATCCTGCACTTTTCCTTTCTGTGGGACTCCCCCAAACACTTCAAACAGCTCTTGTGGGGGTCGCTAATGGGCATCGGCCAACTGCACGATGAGTATGGCTTAAAGCCTGGAAAACGGGGCATGCCCCGCTCCTAGGTGAAGTCCCAGCCGGGACTCTAACTCATAAGCTACTACTCGAACACTTAACTTAATGGTCTAACTAAGTACCTATCAACTAAATACAAAGGATACAGAACAATGGGCTGTAAGAACTGCTAACACTCTTGCAATGCAAGACAAGGCGCTCTGACCAACCATTGCGGATGGTAAGGAACTGAGAGGGCTTAGGGTCGGCAATGCCTAATATACTAACACATGAGCACGGTATTCAAGGGGGCACCGCAGCCGACACTCTGGATACTGTTAAGGGAAAAGTCTGCACGTGGGCGCGCATACACCTAGAATGGAATTGACATGAGCAAGCACTTGAAGAAGAAAGATTTATACTTAAAAGGCTCACTGTTCCTTTGTATCTGTCACTGTGAAAAGGGACAATGTAAACACCCCTTTTGTAGCTGGCTTTTACAGCGGAAGCTGCTTGTAAACAAGTTGCCTGCTAAGTATCTGTGTGATACAGGATGCTTTAGGTAGCCATGAAAAACACCAAGAAAGGGAATGAGCAGAGGGTTAAATATATATTCTTTTTGTGCAGAGTTTCTTTCTTTTGTTCTATCAGATTTCCCAATAGTTTGTGGTGTTATTTATTACTATTTAAAATAAATGAAACACTAACGTGGTAATTTGAAAGGTGCTAGAATAGAAATGAAACCAATGAGTTATTGTATATACATATCTACACAGAATTTGCACATTTACAGCACTATCTTCATTATTATTATTTATGGTAAATATATGAAATAGTGGAATATAACATTTTTGAATAAGGATCAATAGCTTGCCCAATTTAACTGTTCATAAATAAATAATGGGCTACATTCTTCCCTGACTTATACCATATGATTAAATGCACAGTTTGGAAATCAGGGCAGAATTTAGCTCTGTAAAAAAGTAATTTGATGGAGGATGTAGGAGAACCATTAGGTCAAGGCATTGTCTACACTCTACAGAGTCAGAGGAATCAAAATAAATATTTCAGTTTAAAAACAAACTG